GTATTGGTTGCAAAAAAGTTGCTAATTAGCCTCTAACTTAGTTGTCTTAAAAAGGTTGGACATCTACGAGTACAAAACAGTTACAAATTAGTCTCATCAATACGACGAGGCGAACTCAAAATACATATATATGATAGTTTTATCATAATTATAACTTAGTTTCATATGATTGTTAGAGTGTCAGTTAAGTTATAAAACATAAACTCTTGTTTTAGCATCAAAATGATTTTAAAATTGGAATGAAAGTTTCAAAATTTATTCTCACCATATTTTTACTACTAGACTACAAGTAATCTTTGGAATCTAGAGCCTTAAATTATGTAAGAACATGATTATGGGTAGTATATATGGGTAAATATAGTGGGTTTTAAGAATTAAACCCATTTAATTAAATCATAATGGGCTTAAACCCATATTTACGGTCTATATTTGGGGTCTATATTATCGGTAAATATACTCGCTCCTTCCTTGTCGATTTCTTCTCCGCCGCGCTTCTTCTCTCCCTCCATCTCGCCCTCCGTCGCCTCCCTTCAATCCCCATTTCATCCTCTTCGATCCTCTTCCCGTCTTCACATCGTCTCTGCCGCAAAAAAATGTCGAACCCTCATCCCAACGACGACAAAGGAACAACCGGAAGAAGAAAACAACGTCGAGAAACCACCGTCTCAGATCGAAATCGACGACGGAGAAGATAGGTTTGCGGTGAACACTCGATTCAGAGGTGATCCAAAAGACGCACCGAAGTTTTTTTATCAGTGATCTTCCTTGGCTTGAACCTGATCCTTTTGAAGGTCCTCAATGRGATGGTTTAGGGTTCTTCGTTCAATACTTGTGGGCTTTTGGTATCCTTTTCGCGGTAAAGTTTCAATCTTTCGAAATTCTCCAATAAATTCACAAAATTTGAAGTTTTGTTTGATTGGGTTTTTGATGTTGTAACAGTTAGGTGATCTTGGCTGTGGAGCTTGAAACAGGAGCGCCATGGGTCATGTGCAAGCAGGATGATGTCCCTGATCCTTTGGTTGGTTTATGTGTTTGTTCTGTAGTGTGGCTCATCTGCCATTATCCGCTTCTGAATTCGTTGTTTCGGTTATCTTATTGTTTCTATGATGCATCAGATCAATGCTTGCAATGGGAGGCAGTGTGGAGAAACATTTAAAGGACCCAATTCACCAAACAAACCTGCAATATGGACTGAGAACTGGACTAGTTTGTATGGACTTCATTCAAATTCACTACATTGTTGTTTACTTCTCAGTCCACAGATTACGAATTAACTTTCAGCTGCTCCCTTTGTATAGTTATCAAACATATGGTGAAGACACATTGATGAGGTCAGCTGAGGATATATCATTTCACGTTGCTCTATTCATTGCCAAGAATGGAAGTTTCGTAAACTACTACATGGTACTTTTTCCAGTATCACTCTCTTGTTTTCTCTTTAGTATACAAGATATGCAAAAATGATTGATGATTTGACTCTGTATCATATTCTAGTATCATGGAGGAACAAACTTTGGAAGAAATGGTTCGCAGTTCGTAACCACTAGTTATTATGATCAAGCTCCGCTTGATGAATATAGTGATATTTCAAACCATTCACCCTCCAAGATCAGACTTTTGATCTGACAGTATAACATAAAAGGTTGCTGCTGCAGGATTACTTAGGCAACCAAAATGGGGACACCTTAAGGAATTACATGCTGCAGTTAAGCTGTGTGAAAAGCCTCTGTTTTCTGGACTGCGAACGACAATATCTTTGGGAAAGCTAGAAACTGTAAGAAACATTCATCAGTATCTTCTCCTTTTTGATATCATGAAAGATGTTGGAACAATGATATTTATGTCTTATTTAACAGGCTTTTGTGTTTGGAAAGAATGCCAACCAATGCGCTGCCTTATTTGTGAACCAAGACAAAAATGATTCTACTGTGAAGTTTCTTAATTCTTCATACCTTTTGTCTCCAAAATCGATAATTGTCCTCCAGACTGCAAGAACGTAGCCTTCAACACTGCCAAGGCAAGCTCATACATCAAGACTGTCATTCATGCAGCTTTCTTGTGATGCATTCATTTATTTTTTGTGCTATGGATAGGTCAATGCGCAATACAACACGAGAACAAGGGAACCAAGACAAAATTTGTCTTCTCGTAAATGTGGGAGGAATATGCAGAAAATGTTTCGAGTTTCAGTGAGACGTCAATAAGATCAGAATCCTTGCTTGAGCACATGAACACAACATAGGATACTTCTGACTATCTGTGGCAAATATTCAGGTAAAGCCACTATTATTCCGTAAGATATATAACATCAGTTAGGATATTATGTTGTACGTGCTAGGCTGGTTGGAAATTGCATAAGTTATCTATTTGGTTTCAATACGATATCAATGCTAAATGCAGTCTAGGTTTGTCTCTGGAACTTATAAAAATAGAGCAAGTCGTTTGGTTCTCGTATTGAACCAAAAAACTGAGTGTTCCTTTCCATTTATGATTTCGAAATATATGTTTTAAACGTTTTTGTTTCATTTATGTTTGAAATTTCATATTTCATATTGAATGTACTATGTTATCAATTTTAAGAAAATAAACTTTAATTTAAAAAAACACAATTTCATAATTTTTTATTGTTTTTAGAACCCCTCTATATTTTTACTACCTATAATCACAAAAAACAACAACAAAATAATTTGGGGTTCTAATGTTAATCCCAATACAATTAATATTATAAAATTTATATATTACCCCAACATATTTACTATATATAATCATGTTCTAAAATCATTCGGGCTTTTTTAATAGCAAGGGAGGTACAACCTTGGTAATTGGTTTCCATCTATTTTTTCATTAGACTTTATGTAAACAAGATTAAACCTGACCGGATTAATGTTCTCAAAATAAATATCACATGAAATGATGTTTTTAAACCAAAAATTTCCACGGCAACCTTTAAACAACAAATTAAAGAACAGATGTAACACTAACATCGTTCATTTCAGGCTCGACGAGGACCATGGTGAACACGAGTTCTTCGTTTTGAACCTTTCCGGGCGAATTTAGACTCTCTGCTCACTCTAATTCCATTAACCGGACCAACACCACCAATATGTCGGCCCAAACCCGAGTCAGAACGGTGATCTTGCCTCACACCAACTCTAACTCGATGGCTCCTTGCTCTCAGAGACTTTCTAAGACGCTCTTCTCTTTTGCATTCTCTTCTTGATCTATTGTATCTGAGCGAC